TAACATTTATAAATCAAATATTACAAGCATAACAGTAAAGACATTGCCAAATAGATGTTACCAGCTAAAAACAGTTTTCCTTCATTTTCCCCTCCCTACTTCTATTTATTCATATTGGTCATTTTCCAAATAATAACTATTATAAAATAAAATCAGTAAATAAACTGGCAATTTTATGTCTCTAACTCCATACGCTGTTTCCATTGCTTTATATTAATTATTTTTACTTCCTTAACTAATCCATTAAAGACACTTGTTTTCCAACATAATTCTATTTGTTTTCAAAAGTACTCCTTTAGTTAATTTTGTTATATGTTATTTTGGAACACTCTTTTACAGATCACTCAATTAAAAATTTATCTCTACTCACCTCAACTACTATATAATACATGCAATATTACCAATATAGTTTTCATTCTATCAGTCTATATCAAAAATCAAAATCATCTTTTTCATCAGCAGGAGGGGCCATGATTCTATATACTCATTATTTGTTTTATTTACTTAAACTCAGTATGGGGTCACATTCATATCAGGTTCCTCTAGAGCTGGTCACTTACCTAGCATATTTATAAGCCTATCTCCCCATCTATACAGAAAATGGCCCTGATTATGTCATAAGAGTTTCCAAATGTTACATGAAAGAGCAGATATATAGTGTTTTGCTTTGTTCAATATGTTTAGTCAGAAAGCATTCAATACCATTTTTGCTTTCAACATCATTAGCAATTTTCCGATTTTCAATTTAAAAATAAAATACCAATTTTGGAACAAGAGAGCAGAAAGTCTGGTAGAAGTTTAGTTTAAAAAAATCAACAGTATCTTTTAGGAAACTATATTCAGTCAACACATAATCCCAGGCAGAAAGAAGTAGCAAGATTCTTTAAAAATCATTCATTAGCATAGGTCATTCTTATGGGCTGGGCAAAAAGGAAGGCAGTTTGCGATGGGCGTGGTGGCTCGTGCCTGTAATTCCAGTACTTTGGGATTACAAAGCTTGAGCTCAGGAGTTCAAGACCTGCCTGGGTAATGTGGCAAAACTCCGTCTCTACAAAAAGTACAAAAATTACTTGGGAGTTGTCGCACGTGCCTATTGTCCCGGCTATTCTGGGGGTTGAGGTGGGAGGAACACTTGAGCCCAGGAGATCAAGGCTGAAGGGAACCAAACCACTGCACTCTAGCCTGGGTGACAAAGTAAGACATGTATCCAAAAAAAAAAAAAAAAAAAAAAGGCTAGTTTCATATGAAAACAAAGAAACATTTATTCTTAAGAATCCACAACACTTGAGTGTACAAAAAACTGGCAACTAAAGAATTTTCCTCTTAATATTTGCAGCATATCAATATTATGGCTACAATTCTGATCTCAAAAATACCATGTATCTTAACTTTTAACACTGATAAAGGAAGACAGTAATAATTATAAAAATCTAGATAAGTGTTAGAAACAGAAAAACAATATAGTTGAACTAATACTAGGAAGATGAGGATGAAAAACAAAAGTTCTGTGCAGTATCAGGAGAGAACCCAGGGTAGCTTACTGGGTTACAAAGTAACCAGGGCATAAAAAATCTCATGGTATGAAATTTATTGCTTAAATATCTTCCCCCATTTTTATTTTATTTTAAATAAATGGATTCACTTATATTCTCTTTTAGAATTAGTAACTACAAAGTGTCTTGGAAATAGGAGGAGGATTTTCTTCAAGAATCTACATCAAAGCAATAGTCAAAGCTTCATTATCCATGCAAGTAGATGTGAGAAGAACATGATCACAAATGTTCCTACTGGCCTGTGTTAATTTGACATTTACACTGAATGTTAATGTCTGATTTTCATGGTTCAAATAATAACAAAGTATTTTTTGTAGCACCTTAGTGCTCAAGTAGTTAGAATGTTATAATTTTTAAAAAATTCTCTGCTTATGTTCTGTCATATAACATACACTATACTGAAAATAAACTGCATCACTTCTCAGACTAAAGAAACATACCCCCTAAAATCCTTTCTCTCCCAATGAAACAAACCATACCTTAACTGGGGAAGTTAATTATATGCCTGGGTTTCACAAACCAACTGCTGTTGCCAGCTGCATTCTAAATAAGAGTAAATAGAGACAGTTTGAGCTGTCAACAAAAGACATAATTAAGTAGGAAAAATGCTGTCAATAAAACATAGCTACATTTAAAACTTTAGAAAACAAATAGGGCCAACCAGATTTGGACTGTATTGTATAGTCAATACGTTCTTAACCACTAAGTGATTGGGTCAAGTAAAAGTAATCTGGAAAGGCTGTCTTCAAACATATACATGGCAAAATAAGATTTTGTTCAAATAGAGGTTAAAAGAGATTGTACAGCCTTTCTCAACTAGGGTTCCACAAGAAAATAAAGCCCCACATACAATTATTTGAGGGCTATTTCCCAATTCTGCTGAATTCTAGAAGCATTAAGGAAATGATTCATTACAAACAATGAATGTGTTAGGTCTTAATTATCTACCAGAACTGGTTGAGAAGGGATTGTGGAGCATCTTATGAACTACAAAAACTGACTGCATATTTTTCAGTTTGAAACATGTCATGGATACAAAAGGCATTCCATCCCTCACTCTTCTAACCATAATGTTAATGTGTATGTTCTTCAAACTGCTTTCACATTTACTGTGTCATTATCCATCTAAACAGCTCCGGTTATCTGGACACAGTTTGCAGAAAGCAGATTTTTTACTGTTTAAAAAAAGGTTTTTTACTCTAGTTTTTAAGATAAAATTAATTTTTACTCTGCTGAATACCAAAAGATCCTAACTATGTGGGACATTTAAATTAGTAGTAGTATATTTGGCATAAACTAAATTATACAATAGGTCTGCTAGAAAGCACTATCTCTTAGTTACGGTAGAAAACAGTAAATTCTGCAAACTTCTAACGATTAAGGGAAAAAAAACCACATCCGTAGCACCAAGCTGATTTTTTAATGTTTAACCAACTTTTACATTTCTAATTGGAACATATTATGAATCATCATTTCTCTATGTCCACATTTTTCCTCAGATACTTAATATCAAGAAACAAATTGTACAAATTCTATATAATCTATAAACTTTTGTAGTACATCTATCTTGGCATACCAGGAAAGAAGAGAGGCCCATTAAAAAGACAGACTCAGGGGCCGGGCGCGGTGGCTCACGTCTGTAATCCCAGCACTTTGGGAGGCCGAGACGGGCAGATCACGAGGTCAGAAGATCAAGACCACCCTGGCTAACACGGTGAAACCCCGTCTCTACTAAAAATACAAAAATTAGCCAGGCGCGGTGGCGGGTGCCTGTAGTCCCAGCTACACGGGAGGCTGAGGCAGGAGAATGGCGTGAACCCGGGAGGCAGAGCTTGCAGTGAGTGGAGATCGCGCCACTGTACTCCAGCCTGGGCGACAGAGCGAGACTCCATCTCAAAAAAAAAAAAGACACTCAGGAAAAAAGGAGGGATGGCATGTGATTTCTAGCAAGTTTCACACTCAGTGAAAGGAAATGGAGAAAAGGAAAAAACAAATTAATCCAGTATTCACTGAGCACCACTTAGGTGTTCTAACATTCTTAGAAGATTTGGGGAAAGATTAAACAAAATATTGTCTTCACCTTGTTATACTCTGAGGTCTATGGGGGAAGCAAACAAACAGATGGAAACATCACCAATCCATACAAGGAAGGATATATAAGTAAATATTCAATTATGTGGTGCAGACTGTAAGCGGTGTAGGAACTGAGAGTAAAGCAAGACTAATGAGAACTAGAGTTGTAAAATATATTATGAAGGAAGGCAGATCTCAGCTTACCCTGGCAGGATGAGCAGAAATAACAGAGAGGATAACCATGAGCAAGAACATAAGGGCAGGGTTCTTTCTTTTTTCAGTACTATTTGTAACAACTTGGAAATAAAAGCATTTTGATTAAACGATTTCAAACGTGAACATGGGATTAATATTTGAAGTACTCAGTGAATTAATGCCTTACAAAAAATATATATACAAAAAGTTCTAACAAAAATTTTGAGTCCCAGATCTACCAATTCCCCTACCATTCATAACAATATATAATTTCACACTTCTGCATACAAACCTGTTTATCCTGTATTATGCAATATGAGTATACTGGCATTTCAAACAAATATAGGAAGAAACGGGGTGGGATGAGGAATAACACCACAATGTTTAAGACAAATATTCCACTTCGCTGGTTAAAGTACGGATTTGAGAGGGAAGGACAAAAAGTTACTGATAGAGGCAGGGGACAGCCAAATGCCTAGGCAGATAGGGAAAGACTCTCAGTTAAGAAAGAACTTAAGGCTAACTTAATTTTTCATCTCTGTACAAATTAGAAAAGGCTGTCTCACATATTTCACCCTTAAGAAGAGAAAAAATGTCCAACTATTTGAGAACTCCAAAAACAGATGGAGTATCTGAGGCAAATAATATGCTAGAAAGCATTCCAGTAAGGGCTCCTATAAGAATATTCAAATGATCACTCTTTGAAAAAGGCAACACAGCAGGACATTGCTTTAGATACAGTGAGATAACCAGAAGAATTATAATTTCCATTGTTCAGATGAGGATCCAAAATACAACTTATTTATTGAGGATCCAAAATCCAATTTATTTATTTATTTATTTATTTATTTATTTATTTATAATATTTCACTTTGTCGCCCAGATTGGAACGCAGTGACAAGATCTTGGCTCACTACAACCTCTGCCTCCTGGATTCAAGTGATTCTTGTGCCTCAGCCACCTGAGTAGCAGGGATTACAGGTGAGTGCCACCACGCCCGGTTAATTTTTCCAATTTTAATAGAGACACGGTTTCACCACATTGGCCAGGCTGGTCTCAAACTCCTGGCCCTCAGGACTCCTGGCCTCAAGTTATTGGCCTGCCTTGGCCTCCCAAAGTGCTAGGATTACAGGTGTGAGCCACCGCGCCAAGCCCATACAACATATTTAAACGACCTGTTTTTTTGTTTGTTTTTTTTTAAGCTTCCACATCAGTGTTTTACTGAGACCAGCATTGGGGCATATGAGGCACAAGGAATCCAGCTCTGTTCCCTAGAAGCCATCCACAAGGTTTTCCTTGTAGACGTCATCACTCTAGACAATCTGGGTCCTCTTGTCCCGGTGGCAACCCTTAGGGCTGTTCTGGACAGCAAGGGAGCCCCAGACAGACTTGCCAGTAGCGGCATCCAGCATGGGCTGTTTCCAGGCTATGTTGACTTTGAGCTGTACAGACTCCACCTATGTCCCATTGAGCTCAGCAACCGCCTGATCTGCTGACTCCATCTTTTCATAGGTGACGAAGGCACAGTTTCTGGGTGAATCCATGGAGAGGTCAATGATGTTTCCAAAAGGAAAGAAGGCCCCACAGAGAATGGTAGGCATCAAGTCTTCTCCACATACATAGAGAGTATTCCCTTTCCTAGGGGCTCGCCATTCAAGGAATGAGTCCGACCTGCGGAAAGGACCCTTTCGGTCTCGGTCGCAATGCTGCTCCGGATCCCGATCCCTGTCCGGTTCCCGGTCTCGATCTCGATCCCGATCCCGATCCCTGTCCTGCCCTCGGTCTCTGTCTCGATCCCAGTCTCGATCCCGCTCCCGATCTCGGTCTCTGTCCCGGTTCCTCTCATGGTTGCGGCTTCGGGGAGGGGAGGCTGAGGAGTGGCCACCACTGCGTTCTTCATAGCCCCAGTCAAAGCTTCGAGGGGACCATCACCAGCCCCTGGGCCCTCTGCCTCTTCTCCATCTGGCCCTAGTTCTCTAAGTCGATCACTAGAAGACACAAAGCTTTCATACAGAGATTTCCTCTAGAGACGTCTGGATGACTCTTGCAGGTCATCAGCAGCAGATACTCTCCTCTGGAACGGCTGGAAAGTGGGGACTGGTCCCTTCTCGGGGTCCTTTAACTTCCCCTCAAGGGTTCGAGAACGCTTGAAGCCTGAGTTCTTGGTCTCAGCCTTGATGACACTGATGGCTCCTGACTTCACCAGCTGCTTTGCCTGCTCTGTTGCTGTGGCTGTGTCCACGACAGGCTGCTCTGATAGTGAGCATTTGACACCGCCTTGGCTGGTTGTGCTGCTGCTACTTTGCTTCTTCAGAGTCAGCAATGCCTTTTTCTTTTTCTTGAGTTTGTTCAATTTCTTCTGCAGAGCCTCCTCTTCCTCGCTCAGTCCAGAAGCCACTAACATGGTGGCTCCTGAGAGGGCGGCCACTGCAGGCCCCACGGTCTCCCGCAGCGCCCGCGCTGGCCGCTGATAGTGGGCTCACAATGATGACCTAAACGACCTGTTTTTGTTCACAGTGCTGGTAATTAGGAGGAATGCAAATCGAATTCAGATATTTTATATTGTGGTTTCTATTATCACTTGATTTTTTCAGAAGAATAAATAATATTATAAAGAATACTCATTATAATAACTTCCTTCTTTCTCATTATAAATCCACCTAGCTCACTTAGGCAAATACTTTTTTTTTTTTTTAATTGATCACCAACCAAATAGCTATAACACTTCAAAAAAAGGACTTAAGAGCTGTCTAAGCCAACTTGCTAATGTTCTAGTTGGGGAAATGATCTAAGTGACTGCCCAAAGATACACAGCAATTCAGTGGCAGAGAAAGTTCAAAACAAATAATTTAAACTGTGATGATTCTAGTTCTTCAAACACTACTTCTAAGTATTCTTAGATTTATTTTTCCTGAGCTTGCTCGCTAATTACTCTGTGTTTTAAGCATACTTCAGTTTCTCCAGCTTATTTCCCAATCACATAGGGATCCACTTCTACTCATTTATATGTTGCATTTCTAAATGTACAATGCTACTTTCAGTCTGGTCCTAGAATTAAAATAATTCAATAGTCTCTAAACTAATCTTTTTATCAGAGTTACAGATCATTCATTAAAGGGCAGGAAGAAGATACATTATTTTCATATTTGGTTTTCATTTCATTGTTTGCTAGGCTAACATATTCGTTTAAAAATATATTCAAGGTATTTTTTAATGTTTTGGGGGAAGTATCTTCTTTCAGAATGTATACACATGTTTTAAAACAAATGCCATCTTTTGATATGAACTAATTAAACTAGAATCCAGTACAACCAAAATACTACCATAGCATATAATTTGTGTCTTTTTAGAAAAGAAATATTCCTAGTGTGTTCAAGAAAAGACTATAAATCACTACACTGTGTTTATTTCATATTTCCCATGATACCATTTGCTCTAGCTTTTAGCCTTTTATGTGACATTGAGCTATTTTGCAGTTATAAAACAGTTGAAAAGAATGACCTGTTAATTTGACAGGGACGCATTATAATATCTCTCTCTGGCACTATAATATTTTAATTTCTTTTCTGAAGACAAACCAGTTGGAAAGTGACCATCTGCTAGTATGTTAGTATTATTTAGGCAAAGTAATGAACAAATGTCCTCCTTTGCAGTAAGAAGATGACTAAATGAAAGAAATCCAGGGTGAACAACTGAAACAGATTGATTCAATGCCACGTAAAATGCCTTTTTCATTATTTATTTACAACTCAAACAACAGCATTTTAAAACATGCATTGATAGTATAAATAAATCTTCTGAAATCTACTTTTTACACTCACCCAAGAAATATATTACAAAGCAAACAATTAAAAATAAAACTTTCTATCAATTCTTCTCATATAATTTCTTCAACATCTATTTAAACATAGATAAGCTGTCCCCATCATAAATACCTTTCAAACATGTGATTTCAAAAATGTAAACACAGTAACTTAAATTTCTCAGGTTGCTATTTTTTTCATGTATTTTGAAACATTTTCCAAAAATATATGCCATCCACATTCAATGAGTTAAGAGATATTTATTTACCAATAAATTATTACAGGAATGTCAAATTAATTAATAAATAGATATCTGATCTTAATTATGGGTAATTTCTCTGTATGTATAAATGTGGATCCTACAGTAAGTACATAAGCTGTGTACCTAATGAGAAACTCCTTCATGTTAGATACATTAAGGGAAAAGAGCAAAGCATGTCACTGAAATATTCTTCTTGTGCCTGAGGGAAGTGCTTTGAACATGAAAGATTTGCATACTTGGAAAGCTATGGCTTCCCTGAATCTCTGGAAAGCTTACCAGATGAGAGTAAACTCACGAAACTGTAGTCCAATTTTTAGGAGCAGAAACTATAAATGCTTATTCATTACAACTGCATAGTATTCTAGTATAGCAAATAAACGGAAAATTATGGATTTCTATAATAAACATTCGTAGCCAGTTTTTAAAAAATCTGTAAACATGAATTTACTGAGATTTTTCTTTCAAGTAAGATTAAACTGGCTATGTCAACCCTGACTTATGATTAACACCTGGTAAACATTTTAAACGGATTTAATTGCTATTAAGCAGATAAGTCACACTCAATAACTTCTAAAGGTAAGGTATCCATATAACTACCTATAAATGGCAGTAGCTAGGTTTCTTTTAAGGTCTATCTCTAACTTGCCTTCCCAAAAATACCAAGAGCTTTTATTTTTATTTTTTAACAAAGCAACGTTTTTAAAGCAAACAACCACCAAAAAAAAAAAAAAAAAAGCAAGCCATGTTTTGCATGTATTGTTCCTAGGTTTAATTTCAGTAAAATGTGGCTCTAAAAATAAATGTGATACACGCTACATAATTAAGTATTCCTGGTTCATTCAGGTCAAACTAGGAATGTGTGTTGTTCTTTGAGTATCTCCAGAACCCTAAGTACACACACAATAAAATACTGAAACAATTTACTGGTTCCTTCCATGACTTAACACTGATGTAGCATCTTACTATACATATCAGGCAAGATTCTCAGTACTTTATGAATAATATTATAATTCCTTTAATCCTCCTAATAGCAAATATTTTAATCCTCATTTTAAAGATATGTAAAACAAAGCAAGAGAGGTTAAGTGGCCCAAGGTTATGAATAGAAGAACTGTGATTCAGACTTATTCAGACTAGCTCTAGATTATGCTCACAGCACTATGTTATGCCACCTTAGTCATGTCAATCGCAGCAATAAATTTTAATGCACAGAGGTGAAGGCAAATATTCTTAAGTGGGAAAGTCGATCCTGAGAAATATATACTACTTTATGCCACCTTGAAGTGAGAATATCTATTAAAACAAAATGTTAATTCATGGACACTTCAATACAAAACTATTACAAAGGATGGCCAGGGAGACAGGAATAGGAGTTAAGGCTCAATATTGTAGAATGAGGGGTTGGGCAGGAGTGGTTAAGATGAGCACTCAGAGAATTAGAAAACCGAGGCTGTTGATAAACCTCAGCCACAGTCCACAGCTTGGAAACTATGGCTAAAAGTTTTTGAAGCTGAACTTCCACAAGTAGATTTAGCTGTGTAAAAGCTAAAGGTAGGGAATAACAATAAATGTCAAGAAATCTTAATAGTTTTTCTCTAGTTTGAGGATTTGAGTTACCTGGATTCTGTCACTAAATTACTACCTTACCCTGAACAAAAACATCAAGTCTTGAACTACTCTGCATCTGATCCTTAGAGTCACAAATTAGGGTGTTGGATTATTAGCTTCAGAAAGCCCTTTCTAACTTCTACAAGTCTTTAACTTAGTCACTCTAGTTAAACAAGTACTTATTGATAGCCAGGTAACTCGTTAATACATGAAAAGCTCTGTTAAGTACAAATCAGGGAGTTCTCTAGTGGTTTGAAAGGATTTAATAGAATCAGAGGAAACAGTAATTTTATAGCACATAGAATGAGTATAAAAGGTCACATATTGTCTAGTACTATTAAGAGGTTTATAGGAAATTAAAATACTACAGATTACAATGTAAAGATATATCATAAAAACAAATATTGGGATTCTTTAGTATTATTTCATGACAGAGTATATATAAAATTATGATAAAAATAAATGATAAAAGGTATTTAACTTACAAGTATCCTCTTCAAAAATATTTCAGAAATACATTCAAAGCACATAATAAAACCAATCTTAATTCCACTTTCAACCAGGCATCAAAAACTCTACATTTTTAATGTATTTATTTCATATAAAGCCTTATATGAAATATAAAGCACTGATAACTCTTTTAAAAATATTCTAAAAATTAGCTCAAGTATGGTAACTGTGGTAAAATGTCCAACTTTTTACAATACATTAACCATTTATTGAAAAACCAAAACATGATAATTCTCAAGGTTTAGAATCTTAGAAGTAGACTTGTTTTACAAGCACTTTTTATACAGTATTCTCCTTATGCACTTTAAAAAGTTGAACTACTATAGCAAATGCATAATTGATTTATAAGGGAAAAAGTTCAAGTGAAGGACATACTATTAACTGTGCATTAGAGAGACGGGGTGGAGGAAAATGTACCTCTCTGGAACATTTTGAAAGCAATGATTATAAAAATGCAAATGCCAGATACAGCTGATGCTTTCCACTTCATAGTAGCACCTAAGTCACACACAATCCCTAAGCCCCCTCCAAAAACAATAACAAAAGGACAGACTACATATCAAGCTACAAATAAAAGGCAAGTGTTTTTCCATTATGGACATGTAAGAAGAGTGCTACACTTAATTAGTATTTTAAAGAGTAAGATTTAACTGTTGTTCCAAATTTATCCAAGTACATCAAGAATCTGGTCACAACATGGTACAATATAAATAGATTCAAACATATCACAGTTAAAAATCCTACATAACAATGAACAATGCTATTAACAATCTAATGGAATATAACATACCCCTAATGTTTCTGTCACTGAAAAGCATTAGAAAGCTGTTTTAATCAAATTTTGCTTCCTAAATTCTGAAATTCTGTATTTTGTTAAATGACAGAAATAGATCTTTATTTTCCTATACATTTTTCATCCCAAACCCATACGAATAACTACTCCAGCCACTCAGTTTTCAACGCAACACTATAAGACAAGTATTATTAGGGAAGCGGGACGGCAGTTGTTCACTGTGTCATATCCCTTTAATGCAACTCTGATTTGCCTTTGTTCTGACAGTAGCAAACAACTACTTAAAAATGACCCAGCATCACTGGGCTGCCTCCCATTATTCCACACTTTTGTTTGACAAGGTCACTTGCAGCAGAGATTTTGGGGAGAAAGAGTGTGCAGCCTATAGAAATAAGAGTTTAAGACACAGGCAACCCAGCCATTTTTCCTCTGGCAGCACAAGCAAATTAAAACTTAAAAAAGAAGGTCAGGTACAGTAGCTCACACCGGTAATCCCAGCACGTTGGGAGGCTGAGGCGGGTGAATCACCTAAGGCCAAGAGTTTGAGACCAGCCTGACCAATGTGGTGAGACCTGTCTCTACTAAAAATGCAAAAATTAGCTGGGCATGGTAGTGTGTGCCTGTAATCACAGCTACTAGAGAGGCCGAAGCAGGAGAATCGCTTGAACCCAGGAGGCAGAGGTTGCAGTAAGCTGAAATGGCGCCACTGTATCTGGGCTACAGAGCAAGACTCCATCTAAAAAAAAAAAAAAAAAAAAGGAAAAAAAAAAAAAAAAAAAAAAAGGGGGGGGGGGGGGGGGGGGGGAGGCAAGACAAGACAGACAGAGAGAGATCGTGAGCGAGAACGGCAGTAAGAAAGAAAGAAAGAAAGAAAGAAAGAAAGAAAGAAAGAAAGAAAGAAAGAAAGAAAGAAAGAAAGAAAGAAAGAAAGAAAGAAGGAAGGAAGGAAGGAAGGAAGGAAGGAAGGAAGGAAGGAAGGAAGGAAGGAAGGAGAGACAGAAGGAAGGAAAGGAAGGAAGGGGGAGAGAGAGAAAGAAAAGAAAAAGAAAGAAGAAAGGAAGGAAGGAAAGAAGGAAAGAAGGAAGGACGGAAGGATTGATTGATTCAGGAAGAAAGCAAGTGGAGAAACATTTCGGAAAAACTCAAGGATACACTTTCAGCTTTATCTTGGTTTTAACTTTCAATAAAAATTTAATTTATGACTAATTTCATTAAGAGGAAAACAGACAGGTACCTCTAGGTACCTTCCTAATTCCATCAACTTCATAATTCCATCAGATGTTGACTGTTACTTTTGATAAATTTTACACAATATATAAATCAATCTGAAACTTATAGGTGAAATGTTTAATCAATATTCCGCCAAGGTTCCAAAAGGTACAACAGACACTATAAAGCAAGGGTCCCCTTTAATTTTCAGCTTGACCTATGATCTTTGGAAGGGCTTAAAGCTACATTACGACAATTTCATACAATTAAGTTGTTTCCAAAGGGAGCCATGAAGACTGAAATGGCAAGTTTTCAATGCCATGGAAGAATGTGAAGAAGGAATGTTGCAGGAGCTACCCAAACAAAACAAATCATGACTTTGTGATTTTGACAGTTTATGAGTGGGAAAAGATCTAAGAAACTCTTTACACATTTTTAGGATAAAACTCCCTAAACACGACATAGAAATCTGAAGTTAAATAGTTATTGACAAATATTTATCACTCCTCCATCTTTTTTACCTACATATATAATTAGAGAGCTTTGTACATTTTTCATCTTGATATGTAACCATCAGAAGGAATACGAGTCAATAGTAAATTTCAATATTTTATTAACGCTTAACTAAAATAAAACAAATTCTTTTCAGCAACTTTGGCACTTTGGATGCGTTTGTTGGTAAGAATTAGATATTTCCATATGAGGGGTGGGACTAAGAATCAATTGATTACACCTTAATTGACCTCATTTTCTATTCAAAGATTATGATAATATTAATAGAATATACTATTCAAGTTTTTGAATAATTTCCAGCCTCCCTCCATCCAACATGATCAGCAAATTTTGCCAGTTCTTGTCTCATGTGGAAGGAATTTCAATTCTAAAACTGTTCTGATTACCGTAGCTGGGTTGATGTTATATACCTTGTAAGGGCTACTCCATTTTCTGTAATTCTTAGCCATACACTCTGACCTATCATCTATAATGTTCAAGTAACATTTCAGTCAGAATTACCTCTTTACTGTCAAAACACATTTACAAAGTACCAAATTTATAGACATAAAGAAATAAGTATTATAACTAAACTGTATTCAAATTATCCAGTGCTAACAAGTATTCACATAGTAAAAAAATAAAAAGAGGCTAATGATAATCCTTTATGACAGCCTTCACTTTCACAGAAAGATTTAAACACTCTAGTAGTTCACTATTAAGAGTATAGGACAGCAGATTTTCAGTTTCATTTATATTCAAAGCAGAGAAATCACCAAAACTCATTTACATCTCTCCATTTTCCTTACAGCATGTTAACAGCAGGTGGTCAATACCATTTTGGAACTAGGTAGGTGGCTTAAAATGACTTTACATGTCAAGAGCCTGAATTAAAAACAAATGTGAGCTTTAACTTCATTTTCATTTTAATCTACATTCCATATACTGATTTCATACTATAAATTTGCTCATTTTAATCCATGTTCTTCAGAGAGTTAAGTATTATTTAAACTGATATAGCTGAAAAAAAGCCAGTAAGAAATTGTGTTTCTGATATTCATATTTAACTTTACTTATTTTTGCACACACCAAACCTTTTAGCTTTCCTTTATACTGATGAACACTAAAAGACATTAACACCATCACAATAGGAAAATCATGACTATATTGTTTATGTACTAGTCCTTAAAAATCCAGAAAAATATCTATGTAGATATGTACAGCTAAGTGTCCTCTCTTGGCAATGACTTTTTAGAAATAATGATATAAAATAATTAAAATAATTTCCAAGGACATATGCCTCCTTCTACTTAGTCTGACATGTGAGTATTACAACAGCCAAACTGAAACACAAAAGTCCAATCAGCACCAACACTTGATTAATCTCTCTCTGATTATCAGAGAGATTAATTTGTCCAGTGACAAATTAATACTTAAAATCAATAAGAAATGAGGTAAGACCTATTGAAATATGTGAACTGAAAAGTGTATTTTATTTTTCATCTTCCAGCAATAATGTAGTCACTTATGTTTACCATTTGACTAGACAATAACACTGTCTTCAATCCTAAGCCAAAAGAACAAAGCTGGAGGCATAACTACCTGACTTCAAACTATACTGCAAGGCTACAGTAACCAAAACAGCATGGTACTGGTAACAAAACAGAGATATAGACCAATGGAACAGAACAGAGCCCTCAGAAGTAATACCACACATCTACAACCAACTGATCTTTGACAAACCTAACAAAAACAAGAAATGGGGAAAGGATTCCCTAATTAATAAATAGTTCTGGGAAAACTGGCTAGTCATATGTAGAAAGCTGAAACTGGATCCTTTCCTTACATCTTATACAAAAATTTAATTCAAGATGGATTAAAGATTTAAATGTCAGACCTAAAACCATAAAAACCCTAGAAGAAAACCTAGGCAATACCATTCAGGACATAGGCATGGGCAAGGACTTCATGCCTAAAACACCAAAAGCAATAGCAACAAAAGCCAAAATTGACAAATGCGATCTAATTAAACTAAAGAGTTTCTGCACTGCAAAAGAAACTACCATCAGAGTGAACAAGCAACCTACAGAATGGGAGAAAATTTTTGCAATCTACCCATCTGACAAAGGGCTAATATCCACAATCTACAAAGAACTTAAACAAATTTACAAGAAAAAATCAACCCCATCAAAAAGTGGGTGAAGGATATATGACACTTCTCAAAAGAAGACATTTATGCAGCCAAGAGACACATGAAACAATGCTCATCATTACTGGTCATCACAGAAATGCAAATCAAAACCACAGTGAGATACCATTTCACACCAGTTAGAATGGTGATCATTAAAAAGTCAGGAAACAACAGGAACTGGACAGGATGTCGAGAAATAGGAACACTTTTACACTGTTGGTGGGATTGTAAACTAGTTCAACCACTGTGGAAGACAGTGTGGCAATTCTTCAAGGATCTAGAACTAGAAATAATACCATTTGACCCAGCCATCCCATTACTGGGTATATACCCAAAGGATTATAAATCATGCTGCTATAAAGACACATGTACACATATGTTTACTGCAGCACTATTCACGATAGCAAAGACTTGGAACCAACCCAAATGTCCATCAATGATAGATTGGATTAAGAAAATGTGGCACATATACACCATGGAATACTATGCGGCCATAAAAAAAGGATGAGTCATGTCCTTTGCGGGGACATGGATGTAGCTGGAAACCATCATTCTGAGCAAATTGTCGCAAGGACAGAAAACCAAACACTGTATATTCTCACTCATAGGTGGGAATTGAACAATGAGAACATTTGGACACAGGATGGGGAACATCACACACGGGCGCACACCAGGGCCTGTCGTGGGGTGGGGACGGGGGGAAGGATAGCATTAGGAGATATACCTAATGTAAATGACGAGTCAACGGTGCAGCACACCAACATGGCACGTGTATACATATGTAACAAACCTGCACGTTGTGCACATGTACCCTAGAACTTAAAGTATAATAATAAGAAGAAAACAACACTGTCTTCAAAAAAAAGGGAAAGATTAACATCTACTAATGCTTTAGGTAAAGAGTACAAAGTTGTCAAAAAGTAGTTTTATACAAATAATACCAACCACTATAAACACTAAAATTTTCATGAGCAGAAAAATAAAGAACCACAAAAAATAAGTACGTTTTTGGTTGTTTCAACTATGCTAACACATAAATGAATAAAATACAGGTAAAATTCATTTTTATTTCAACAGTATTAATGCCAATAAAAAAACAAAAACTTGACTGTTTCATAATACTTTTTGTCTGCAAAAAATAATTTCATTGTAAGTTTTGGCAACTTACAATGTAGTTTATATTCCTGTATTTTGAAAATAACTTCCTATGCCGATCATTTTCAACTATGTCAAAATTAGATTATCATTATGGGTATAAATCAAAATGTGAAGTTTTAATGTGAAACTGACTAAGATAAAAGTTTCCATATCTACCTTGGTTTTATTTTAGAACTGATCCTTGCAATTTGAGGTGTGACCTTATTAAGTTTCATATTCTGTTCCCATATATCAAAATGCTTCAAGAAAGAATAAACAGGAATATTTAGTTTCGATTTTAGTACATTTAAATGCATGAATGGAGGAGGATCACTGGTCATTCTTGGTGTTTGGACTGACCGTAGATGTGTGAAATAAAATTTAGGGAATCAGGTATTTCAATTTATGTAATTAGGAGCAAATAAAAGATGTTTTGTTTTGTTTGCAAATCATCTATTTCAACAAAAGTTAGATTACCAAAAATATATAT